AATTGTCCTAGTTAGTAAATTTAGTTTAATTTTTTTTTTTTTTGGGGATATTTGTCGAAATTATAATTTACATCTCACTTTTCTTATACATTCAATCAATGGATGGATCAAACAAATGTAATATTAACAGGACAATTAACAGTTATCTATTTAATGATATATAGGAATGATTGTTTATTGAAGTATGAGTTAAAGTCTTCTTGTGAAATTCTTTTAAAACAATTTCATTTATTTTTAGCAAATCATAGTGAAGTAATAAATTAACAATTATGAATTTTTCCTTAAAGCATAAATAAATATTAATTATTGTAATTATATCCTTTTATATGAATAAAAATTATAGCCTTCTTCTTTGTCATTAACGGTTTCGAGTGAAGTTAATTAAGCATTTGGCTTCATGATTAATGAAATGATGAAATAAAAAGAGCTATGAATTTGAATGTAATTATTATCCAAAATAAGCATATAGCATCTACTGATTATTGCCAATGAATTTCAAAACAAATTTTAATATATTTAATGTACGGTTTTCGACGAGTTTACTTCAGCATATAAATTTTTTGAGGAATATTTCTGATTACATAATATCAAAAGTATCAGAATTTGACAAATAGTTAATATGACACGTGTCACAATATTGCGCTAATGTCGCCATATGATTGGATACAAAATTTCAAGATAGCATTACCAATGTCAAATTCTTAGCTATTATTTAAATTCAATAAGGACAAATGAAAAAAAAGAAAACGAAGTAAGCAGTTGTAACATTGCTAATGAACGTTTTGAATTCAATGAGCAAATTAAGTGTTGAAAAGCGATTCATTCCGGGAGAGAAAAATAATCAAATTCCGGAAATTTTAAATTAATTGGACGGAAAAATATTCTGATATACTTTTCCGCAGGTAATAGTCTACAAGTTATCAATTGGTTATCAATTGAGGACATGATGGTTATCACTGAGGATCAAATAGAATCATTTAACTACGTACTTCAATACATTCGCTATTTAAAAATTAATATTCAATTATAAATTTGATTTTTAATTATCCGGTAGATTTTAGATATTTTCAATTCTTATTTCCCTGAAATCATACAAGAAACATTTCCAATACCTGCACAGGAGCAAAATATAAATGAATAGTATCAATGATTGCTTTAGTAATGACTGAAAAAAGTCATAAGAGGTATAACTATTTATTATGTGATTACAAATTTTGAAACATTTATCATATTTTCAATTTTTTTGCAGATGAGATGAAAATTTCATTTATTCTTCAAATTTTGCTATAACCTATTTGTCTATATGCATTATTGATCTCCAAAAACAATTGATCCAAACTAACGCTCGATATATCTCTTTCATACAGTTATTTTCTTTATAGCTTGTCATCTAAGAAATACGTCGTATTCAGTAACATATTTATTTGTCTTATTGAATATTTGCTTTTATTACAGTCATTTCTACAAACATCAATTGTTAATGATTTATAAGATATATGTATAAATGGGGATAATAATGATTCATTGGTATGATTTGTCGTAATATCGGAAGAAATCGATGAAATGAGTATTTTGCTTTATTTTGAAATAAGACTATCATTACATGAATGCTACCATTATATTAATGAAAAGGAATCAAACTAAATTTGAAAATTAAATTTCAGCCTGTAAGAATGAGATCTTGATTCATGTAAATTCTCATCGCTTTATTCCAATTAATCAGGAGTTCTTAGATAGAATTTTAAAACAATTTTTATAATGATTTTGCATTTGAATTTTCAAAGTCTTGAAGATTTCAGTGATTTATTCGTGAATCCATGAATTTTAAAATGCGATTAAATTTGGCAAATTCTATCTTACGCGTTTCTATTTGTTCCAATCTTTTCCTATTAATTCATGTTATGGTTAAATGTCAAAAATTAAGAATCCAAAATTGGAAATTGGAAAGGAAATAAACGAAATGCAATTTAGTGAAAAACCATGCTCATTAGAACTTTTCCTGCACTAAACAGGCATTTCATCTACAATCTTCACGGAGAATTAATGAAATGAAACTTCTCCATCGAACCTGTAACTTTTTAATTTTCAATCCCTTTGCTTTCAGTTATCTAACGAGTAATCAAAGTGTTGAAGAAATGAAATTACCTTCCTAAAAACTCTTATTCTAACATCCACAACGCTCAAAACAGCCGCGACGATTCAGTTCTTTTCAATTTCCGCACATCAGCTGGGATAAATTGTTGCATAGTGATACACCAGCAGAGCCGCGCTTCTTTTCCGCAACACTTTCATATTTCTACAATTTGGAGAGGAGGGGCTTGCTAACGTAGATGATTATCGGTAGAAATGTTATGAATATTGAAGAGAGTAAGGGATTACTGAGACATAGAAATAGTATAAGAGCAGGAATCAGAAATATGAGGAAAGGTATGAAAGTGAAAGGAAAGAAATGACGGAAGATAACGAAATAAATGGATATGATACAGTGGAAGAGACGTATGAATTATCTAGTTAATAGTACTAGCAGCAATTGAGAGTAGTAGATGCCAAAGAAAGAAACAAATATTTCGAAATATAGATGTGTTGTATTGTATGATGTGAGTACAACTATATTAAATTAGTTCGTTGGCGATGCAGGGGAAGAAAGTTGTGAAATTATCCAATAGACGGGGAATGCGGGACTTTAATAATGCACTGGGGGATTTCATTCAGGTATCCTAGGTACAAATATCGCAATCCCAAAGATACCTGAAGGCAGGTTTCAAATTGTTATTTGCGAAATGTTGAAGAAATGTCTGTCGTGTTGTCATATGAAGTCAGTAATTTTTTTCAGGCATATGATAATATATTGACTTTATAGGTAGAAATGGTAGTTGGAAATGTTATAACGACGGAAGCTATCCAGGAGGATCATTTGATGCAGGTTTGATTGATTTAGGATTAAGACAATTCTTGAGGGATAGAATCTTTCAGTTCGAAATATTCTTTTATATTATGGAAATAATCTCACAGAGATATAGCTTGATTTCAGAAACATCATTTTTCTTTTTAATTACCGAGTTTTTGATTCTGCTTAACGTGAAATATTACTTTTTGTTGTAGTGTTCCGCTCATTCAGCAAGTCTTTTGATGATATGAGGAAGTGAAATTTATTTTTTATGAGCAATTTTGGGTTGATTTTACGAAATATAAGCGACAAATTCGATTAACTGACCAGTGGAAGTGTAGCTAATAACTTTTTTTATTGTCGTTTTTTTAAATAATATTACCAGCCTGATGCTTTTTAATGCTAAATTTTAGATAGCTCGACAATACTGGACCCCTTATACATCTCACAGTCGTGCGTTTGATCCGAATTTAGTTGATACAATTTACGAAAATGAATTAGTGCAGAATCTTTTCATACAGAAGAAAGTCATCGTGCTGGAATTCAGGTTTGTTTTTTTTTTTTTTGATGGAAGGTTGAATAAAGTTCTTAGTATAATTTTTTCTGGACGTATTTTGGGCTTTTAAGTTTATTCTTTGATTGAATATAAAAAACATATGTGGAGACGGGCAGACTTTAAACAATGAATAGGCATAGATAATGCATTTAGTCTTTATCTTTAATAAAGGAGTCACCTTTGCTCTCGATGTTTCTTGCAGTACTCTTTATCATAAGAAATTATTCTGCTTTGCTTCCTTCCCTTCTTGTTGTTTAGTTATGACCCTTATTTTTACTATTTAAAATGAACTAACAAGAAAAAAAAGAAATATCAACATAGGCCTTAAATTTCAGTCAGTACCTCGAGCGTTATCTCTGGCCGAATTTCATTGCAGAAAAGGCCAGTAACCAGTATGTCATGTCCATCGTTATTATGCTTAATGCAAAATTTCGGGAAAGGATTCCAGTTTGGAGTGTAAGTCATATTTTCTTTTCTTTACCCTAAACCTTCGAGGTGCCATTTTTGGTAAGTGACACGACTTCAAACACTCAGTTATAGGGTGCATTAAGGCCTACATTCCAGTTGCAGATAGTAATTTAATTTAATTTAATAAAAAGGTTTTATTTCTGCATCACATCTATGCAATAAAGATGTTAGTGTGCCACCAAAAAAGACTAACGCTACAACTGAAATAAATTATTGATAATGGAAATAGTACCCCTTTTCTTGTCATAATACATTTTGTGTTCGAGATGTGATATTTCAGTGCATCATTGAGCGTTCGGCTGAGTTTCCAGTTTTCTTTCGAAGAATATTGGGCCTTGTATTGGACGTTGAACAAGTTACATTATTGGAACGGTCCGCAATTATTATATTCCTGATCAATTGCTTCAATTCAGTGGCAAGTATTTCTTTCTGATATTTCTGCTTTATCTATTTTATTTTTTTGATATTTCTGTTTTATTTTTGTGAATAGCAATTCCATTAACAATATATTGGATGAAATGGTTTGATCTTTAGAATCACGAAACTTTTCGAAGCTAGTGGGAGATAATACAAGGCGTTGCACTTCATCCGGGGAAGAAAAATTAAATGTTACATTTTTTGTTGCAGATGGTAATTTAATTCATCAGTGGCTATAAATGATCTGAAGTTGCAGGAAGTGGATTTAGTGAGGAAAGAGGTGTTGAAAATAGTTTCACTTACAGTGTGGTCCAATTTGCTCCCAGTTAGTTTTTGGTCTTCACTTTATTCTTCTTTCTTTCTGTGAAGTGTTGCTAACATCTTTTAAATCTATTCGTGTAAAATATGAACTCAAATATGGATTCACTTATTTTCAAAGTTCAGAAACTATTTCGTTATTTTTAGATTCAAAGGGAAGATCTTTTCCAAGCAAACCCAAAATTGCGAAAGATATGGAACAAGTTCGAAGCGAAGGCAGCTTCACAGACAGATGAAGAAAAGAAATTATTAACTTTTGAACGTACATTTATGTGGAAATTGTTGCAAATTTTCAAGCAGACGTTGACAGATGTTGATGATGAATCGAACGGTTTGCTTCATATTCTATTTATGAACTTTAAATTCATGATAGTTTACTTTGCTTGAATTACATAATACCTTTTACTTTTCCTCTATTTTGTTGTTTTCTCCAATCCTTCAATTTTTCAAGAAGTGGGAATTGATGGCATACATTTTCTGGAGCGTTGTTTGCAGTTATTTATTGATCTGGAAGCTTTATTAACCACAAGGTACGTCATTTCGGTGGACTTTGAAGCTCCTCTGTTCTCTTACCTTTAGATCTTAAATTTCCATCTCAGCAGTTTAGCAAGCGTGTAGATTAAACGAAAAATCTTGACTGTATCTTAAGACTCATTGTGGAAATCAATACATGGGTTAGTTCGGCTGTTACTAAAGAAATTAGAAAATATGTAGGTAGTCTTGGTGATCCTGGTGCCTAAAATACTCTTTTTTTTCTAGCACCAAATCTTATTGCATATCAAAATACATCAATGATTGTCCCACAGCATTATAAAGTTCTGATTTTTGTATCTTTAGGATGAGATTTCTAGCTAGAAAATAATCAGTAGATAAACACAAAGTGCTATTTAATCACTACCTTGTGCCTTATTTTGGAGATGCTCTTCTGTCCCAACAGCACCAATTTCAAATTGTGTAATCTAGTCATTAAAATCGGTTACTCTTATTTGAAATGAACTTTTTTCCTGATTAAGAAATTTTTCTTTAGCTGATGTTTAACTACTTACAGGCGTTTCTTTAATGCTATATTACATGCAAGTAACATATTGGTAAATTGCACACTGTCTTCTTTGATAACAGCCGAAGTTGGGGGGTTGTTTTGTCAACTTGTCACAATGCTGAAGTTTTATTCACGTTTCGAGATCGACGATGTTACTGGTGAGCCGCTCACGCATAGCCAAGTACGTCTTTGCTTTGAGAAATTTTCTTGTTATCCATCCAGGTCTTCCAGTATATATATTAATATTGCTTTTTTTTTTCCTTATATTAAAACGTTTTCAGATGTCTGAAATGCACTATGCGCATGTTATGAAACTGCAGAAAGCTGCTTTCAAGTATTTCAGGTCTTTTTGATTACTTAAATTGATAATCTGGTTAACTGGAACTTTTGATCGTAAGATAAGAGTAGTTTCGAAATATAAGAGGACTTATTCTTGAATATATCAAATAGCTAAAAAGGGTTCACGTTCTGTTTAGTCCGCGTGGAGGCCGAATGCATTTATGTGCGACTAGACAGTTATATAGAGCGTTTAGTCACACGGCCATTAGGCGAGTTAGGCGAGCCATTGTTACTGAGCTTTGAATTCTTCAATTTATTAATGTAGTCATTAAATAAATGTTTTCTTCTCATTTCAGAGAAAGTATGACCGATTTTTATTTATTAAATGTCACTGCCGTCGATACAAGGAAAGCTTTGGTAAAGCAATTTTCATCTATGAGGTATATTTCCTTACTGTTGTTAGATTTTTGTTGAAATAATCACGGTTCAGTTTGAACTTCGTAGTGATTAGAATACTGTTCATTTTGAGTGTTCCCACCTCTCCATTCAGATATTTTATTTTTTTCAAATAATTGGCAGGTATTTTCAGTGCATCGGAACTGTATAAATTTGCAGAATATCTGCATTTGGTACCTTCACAAGAACCCAGCTTAGATATTTCATCGAATTACGAAAAAAATTATCTCATTGAAATGATCGTAAGTATCTTTTCGAAATGCTCATTTGATCCCTTCGATTATTTTAAGTAGCGAATAGAATTTTCAGTGAAGGGGATTCAATGATATGATAACTTTCTTTTTTATATACATAGATTTGGAACATGCGAATTCCTATACCTGTTTGTGCTGCTGATTTTAGTTAGGAAAAAGTACCAAAGTGACTTTAAATTAAATGTTTTTGTTAAGTTTAAGTCTGAAATTGAATATTTTATTTCTGATTTCCAGGTAACAGTTTTTGCAATTTTCAGACATTACGTTGTGAGCGACGCATCAATCAATTACAGCAGCTCAATGAACAACCACTTTATCCAACCGAAAAAGTTATTTGGGATGAAAATCTTGTACCATATGACCAATATAATGGTGAAGGTAAGTTTTATCTTTTAGGTTGTACAAATCTATTTTAAACGTTACTAAGGGACTTTATACGTATTCCAGAAATGAGAATTTTTTATCTGTTCCATATTTATATTTGGATATGAGGAAGAAAAGTCTTTAATTAAACTGCTGGATTTTTGAAATTTATCCCTTAACGATCCACTCGGAAATCAAACTCTTTGTAATTTTTAGTTTTCAAGTTCTAGTTTGAGTGGCACTGCTTTCTAAATGTTGTTTATTTCTGTTCTAAATCCAAATATTCGACTATTTCTTTCTTTTTTTTCGTTTTTGGTATTTTTAGGTGTGCTCGCATTGAATAAATTGAATATCCAGTTTTTGACATTCCATGATTATTTACTTCGCAATTTCAATCTTTTTCAAATGGAATCAACATGTAGGTCATTACGTTAATTCTGTTAACGATTCTTTCAAATGAGTGATGTTTCTCTTCTTCGAATTTCTCTTTCTGGTTTTTATTACTGTTTTAATGAAAATCAGCAATTTTTGCTATAGTTTCATCAAACATAATATAAAGTATTTAATAGCGAACTGAGAGGAAGTTTAGCGATTTGTAGTGTTTTTTCAGCCATCACCGAACACATTTTAAACTGAGTAACTGGCACTTCTGATATCAGTTTAATGCTAGGCTTCCTTTCACATCCTATAGTAATTTTTGGCAGTTAATAAAAAAGACAATATATTAGAAAAAGAAATTCATGTATGCTTTTTTTGAACAAAATTTAAACATCATTAAGCTTCAGATGAAATTCGTCAGGATATCGAGGACGCCATATTTCGTTTGAAGCCATGGGCACATGAATCTAATCCAAATGAAACTGTTTGGGGTGGTTGGGCACGAATGGCTTTGCCATTAATCGAATTTCAGGTTTCTTTCACTTGAAATTCTTTGGATACATCATGACACTTAAATTTGATTTTTTCATTGCAGTAAATTAACGATATGCTTTCTTCATTCTTTCGTTTATTATTTCAGATTGTCGAGGTTGGTAAGCCTCTTATTGGTGAAAAAAGTCCAGCTGTTGTCAAAGCAGATTTGACAATCAATTTACCAAGGCGAGCAGATATTCGTGCAGAATGGGAAGGTTGACAATTTTAATGGATTTTTTTATGCTGACACTGTATTAGTAACACCAAAAATATTGTGCTGAATGCTCGAGTAACTTGATTTTAGTATTTTATGGTTAGGTTTTTCGTATAAGTTTTCATTTTTAAGCTTTTTACGCTGCTGGCTTATGTTGATCATGACCAGATGGTCAGTACTACCGGCATTATATACCATTAGACGGTTAAGTGAAATTGCACTACAAGTGTCTTGATCCCGTATCCTAATTCGATATCTAATTACTGTCGTTACACTCCGTGGTTCTTAAATTTAAAAACGAATTTGATTTGAGAATGAAAGCATTGAAGTCTTTTCAGTTGTTGGTACTCAATAGTAACAGTAATCATCCTTGGCATGTTATTTTTTAGATTTGCTTGTCAAAGAAACATCTGCTACAGAGTACTTTAAGGTCTTCGAAAGCACGATGTTTGCTTTTTGATTCGTTGTCAACCGAAAGCTTCAGTTGGTACCAAATATAATATTACAAAACCGTTCAAAGAGCAGATCGATGTTACACTGGTACGTGGATGTGAAATCGAGGGCATGCTTGATTCGGAAGGAAAAGTTATTGAGGAATATGGTATTAATCTTGCTTGCAACTAATTTTTTCTGACATCTCCTCCACTGTCCATTTTGTTGAAGTGATTGCAAATAGCGACTATTTTTGGTCTAGAAATGTGATCTTGTTTGCTAAAGCCATATCATTCTTCACCAAACACTGCTTGAAGTATCAGCTGATTCGGAAATATATCTTATATTTTCCTCTTCCTCAATCGTTCCTTTTTTATAAAGGAGAGAAACCTATATTTTCAGTTATAAACTTTAGAGCAACTTTACATTATTCTGATGGAAGTACTATGTTTGGATACCTTCTGTAATATTTTTTGGATATTTATGCTCAGTTTTATAAGTTAAAATGATTGATGTTTTAAATGCTTGAAAACAGTAATGGGAAATTGGTTATATTTAGCTGCATATGAGAAAAAAACAGTACTGGAAGGAGCTACGAGAAAATTTCGAGTATGGCTTGATGAAAATCAGTATCGCTTGGATACCGAAGGACAGCAGGAAGATGCGATAGATGTGTGTGCTTTGAATTTCTTTTAACATAAAGAGTTTTATAAGTTAAAGCAAGTCTGACAGTGATTTCTCTCACTCAGAGAAACGAGCCTTTTATGTGCAGAAGAAACGTTAGTTTCGCATTATCATTTCAAAAGAAAAATTGTAAGAGTATTATCATTTCAGAATATTTATTATTCATTCAATTTACTCATTCGTCGTGATCCAAAAACAAATAATTTCAAAGCGGTGCTTGCAACAATCCGACAATTACTGAATACGGAATTCGTAGTGCCGGATTGGTTACACGATCTCATTCTTGGCTACGGTGAACCACATGCGGCTCATTATAAATCGTAATTATTGATTCAGTATTGTAAAGTGTTACGAAGCAAATTTAATCTAGCATCAGTTGCAAAATTTTTTCAGAATGAATACTGCAGTGCCTACAGTGGATTTCTGTGATACTTTTTTATCTTATAAGCACTTGATTTCATCATTTCCAAATACGAAAATCGTAGGGACAACAACAGTTGATGAACACCTCGTTCCACCTTTCAGGTTTGCTTTCTACAATTCTAGGAAGTTATGATTTGAAAAGTGGAAAAAAGGCTGGAGTACTTAAAGGTATAATTTATCATGTGCCGAAGGATAAACTAAGAGCTAACCTGTCAGTATGCCAGTTTCTTTTGGTTATTTGTAGCTTACTTATTTCTCTACTAGAAATAAGTAATATCAGTGTTAAGTAATATCAGTACTATAATATCAGTATTAAGTTTTCAATTTTTGTTTGCTAAAAACACATGATTTTCAGACTGACCTTCAAGGAATTGGAACCACAACACAATCTTGAACCATCCATTCGGGATTCGTCGATTGTTGTGGAACCGCACGTAATACCTTGTCGTGGACCTTATCCTCATGTTGAACCGCGCAAAAATACTATACAATTTACTCCAGCTCAGGTGTTTTTCTTAGACTTTGTGGTGTCAAGTGTTATTGCATTCATAGAGTTCTCTGTTTCTCCTCATTAAGAATGGTATTTTCTCAGGTAGAAGCAATCAAAGCAGGTATGCAGCCTGGTTTAACGATGGTTGTTGGTCCTCCAGGTACGGGTAAAACAGATGTAGCAGTTCAGATCATCTCTAATATTTATCATAATTGGCCTGAACAGCGGACACTGATTGTGACACATTCTAATCAAGCTCTTAATCAACTTTTCGAAAAAATTATTCAATTAGATGTTGATGAGCGCCATTTGCTTCGCTTAGGTGGGTTTTGATTATCACTTTATTACCATTCTTTACGTAATTTTAAAAAGTTGTCCTTATATTGTCGGTCACTGTAGTGTTGTCGTATCGTTAGTTCGTAAAACACTTTTTTTTTTACTACAGATATTTGAAAGTTGGAGTTCGAGCACTTAACTGTTTCATGTGTGTGATCCAGACATAACGATCGATGAAGCATCTTTCATAATTATGAGCGCTTAAATTCAAGTGCATTCATTACTAATTGCATTAAGATTCCCTTCCTGATGTAGTTCGATATCTGAATCATATTTAGTTTAGGTCACGGTGAAGAAGCTTTGGAAACGGAAAAAGACTTCAGTAGATATGGTCGTGTAAATTATGTCCTGCAGAAACGACTTGACCTTTTGAAAGAGGTAATAATCTCGCCTTTTAAACACGGTCCGAGAACAAGCAAACTAATTGAACAATCAAATAAAGTAAAAAATGATGTGATGTGAATATTGATTTTGAGATTCATCTGAGTTCTCTCTATTGTTTTCTTAAATTAAATTTTATTTTTGAACGTTAAGATTTCTTTTCAAATGAATGCTGATACTGCTTTATCATCACAGGTTGAGAAGTTGCAAGAAGCTCTCGATGTTGGAGGTGACGTATCTTACACGTGCGAAACTGCTGGATATTTCTTTCTTTATCAGGTCTTTACTACAATTCCTCTGTAATCTTTTGTTGCTGTTCTTTTCAGTAATTTGCTGATTAAAAGTAAGTATTTTATTCTGTAATTCTTAGCATCTCCAATTAATTCTATGAATTTTATCGCTTGTTACCATATCACCTTAAATGTGTGATTTGTCATGCGTATCATTCAGGTATTCGCACGTTGGGAAAAATTTGAAAGTGATGTTGCTCAATCGAAAGCAAATCCAAATCCTAGTGCGAAAGCAGTTGCGGATCATTTCCCCTTTACGAGATATTTTACCGATGTTCCACCACCGCTGTTCAAGGTAAAAATACTTTTCATCCTTTTCGATCAGTGATTTGTATATAATGCTCTTAAGCTGACTTCGCATGATGGATAAAAATATATTGAAATTGTTTG